TTCCAGGTAAGTAACCTCGACCTCTAGTTACTAAATGACAGTTTGATGTGGATATAAAATCCTCTGTGGTGTTTCTTAGGATTCTCACTCTCTACACGAGGTGCTCTTCGTTTTTGTGAAATCGAATCGTTGTGCTGTTTAAAGAGACTTCCAGGTTGAGGAAAAATTATAATAATGCAAAAATATTTCACCTTGTCTAACCTGCAGTTGGTCTCAGCCTAGGTTGGACGCTGCAGTGAAGTGTTCTTAAATGAGGTGGTAAAAAGTCCGTTCTCGTTCAGCTCAAACGATCAGGAGTTGGAGCTTCTCATGTTTAGTCTCTGCTCTGCTGGACTTGAAGCGAGTACCAGCTTCTAGTGTCTTAGATCCTACAGCTTGTGGGGTGGATTCCTCTTGTTTAAACTTTTCAAATACCTTTTACCTTGAATGATAGGTGCTTTGAACTTTTTTTTTGCAATAAACCAAAACTTCATACACAGCTTTGCGTAGTGGCAGCAAACTGGGGATGGTGGTTTTTTCTAGAAAGACATGCTATCGGTACTTCCAGAAAACGCACGTTATTTTTTACTGTATTCTTGTCCTTTAGCGAACAGAGAATTTTCTCCTGGCTTTTACAAGTCTCTGACTTCTCAGAAATGCAGCAGTTGAAGTGAAATATTCAGAGATAAGCGCAGTAAACCCGACGCTGTTAGCAAAGCTGTTGTGTTCCCGTACGTACGCTTACAGCCCTGCACATCGAGGTCGAGTGCCGAGAAAGAGCTTGAGGCTTTGAAGGAGACTCATCCTTTCCTCAGTGACTCAGTCCGGTTGTTGCGGTCAGCTCCTCAGGCAGCAGCGTGGTTTGAAACCAAAAGCAAACGCAGAGCTCAGACCCGGGAGGTCACTGTGCTGTTGCGGCCGGCAGCCGGCCGCTCGGCAGAGCTGGGTTCTGTGGGGTCCCCAGCTGGCCGTTGGCAGGTGGGTCCCTCTGGCCGACACCTCACTGGCGTTTGGTGCCCCGTGTTTTAAAAGGGTTGTGCGAGCACCGTCACATCCTCATCAGGCAGCTTTAGAAAATGGTTGTAGGTGAGAGAGGGATGAGGAACATGTTTCTAAGAAAAAATGTTTTCCCTCTAGAGGCCAAGTGAGCTTGAAGAGGGGCTGGAGTTTGGGGGTATCAGGACCTGTCTTCTGTTGGAGCAGGGCGTTTGCCTTGCAAACAAGTTCATGATATTGTCAAACCTTTTCCAGCTAATCAAAGATTTCCTTTAGCTCCAGCATTTCTTGTTCTGCTTGGCTTTCCTGTAGCCTCCCAGAAGTCAGTGCCAAGCTCTCTTAAGAACATAAAACTGTCCTTTTTTTTTCCCTGTGCCTGGCTCGTTGTTTCAGTGGGCAGCCAGAACGTGTCTGCAGTAGATCAGTAAACAAGGAGGTGAGTTTCTGTCCCGTTGACATGACTTGGGGGTTCAGTGCAAACCCTTGTGCAGGGCCCTAAGGTCTCATTAGGGTTTCTTTCAGGCTGCCTGTCCTGCTGGGAGGGGCTGGAGTTCTGACCCTTCTGCAGGCATGAGCAGTCTGTCCTGCCTCTGTTGTTACTCCTCCCCACTGAGGAGTACTCGCTCACTTCCAATATATTCTCCTCTTCTTACTGTTCCGTGTTACCCTGTTTTGTTTTTTTTCCAGGCACCCTTGTAAATGATACGCCTGACTAGCTGCAGTCAGGCTGAATAATGAGTTTCATTTTTATTTGTTGTCGTTCTGAATTGTAATAGCAAAGCCTGGAATTGCTTTGCTTTCCTCTGGCAGTACGTTACGTTACCAGGCAGTTAGTAGTTAAGGACACTCGCTAGCTGTGGGTCAGCTCTTCACTGAAAATACAGTATTACTTTGCACGGGTTTAGGGAAGGTTAAAATTGCGCTGAGTCTGTAAGTGACTGAACTTCCTTAGAAGCAAATACAAGCTTGCTTGTAGCTGAGACTTGCCTTACAGTGAATGTAAGACTAGCAGCTAATTTTGGCCTTGCCCTGCTCTTCTGGGTGTCTGCTCCTCTGTCACCGACGGCGTGTCGCTTCTGTGGTAAAACATCGAGCGCAACAGGGAGCAGTCGCTGGGGAGTACTGACTCAGCAAAGGTGTGTTGGAGTTACTAGTAAATTAGTTCAGGTTTATAACTAATATTTTGATAGTATCTCCCTTGCTGTTTGCTTCAAGTTCATTACCCACGCTGCTGGCGGCACCTTATTTGAAACAACCGTTTTTTCAACAAGCCGCACTAAATTTGTTGTGCCGGGAAATGCAGCCCCGCTGCCTGCAGCCCCGCTGAGCGGGGCACACGCGCCCGCCTGGTGCTGCTGCCCGTGCCCTCCTGGGTGTGCTCGGCCGGCTGGTGCTGGCGGCGGTGCGGTTCGG